TAATATAGATTTTCTCCGTTTTGCAGCTTATCGCATGACCACAATTAAATAGAGGATCGTTCAGTATTCGTAAAGTACTAACAAGTTTGTCATAATTTATTTATGGCACAATGTACCATGAATACTAGTCTAAAAAAGTTTCAAAAGTAGGTCTTGTCCTGGTCAGACCTGTTCGGCTCACTGTGCCACATTTGAATCGATACGACTGACTAGTACGTCTCGATGAATTTCAATTGAAATCACGTCGTTTGTATTTGCAGATCGCAATTGAACGTGCTAAGAAAGTAACAGTGGATAACACAGTCTGATACTCACTCGCAAACTTCGAACACGACCTGCTGCAGAAGATCGGGGAACTTCTGCACGATGGTAACAGGTTGACCGCTGGTTAAGCTGACTCCGTACATAGGTGCGGTGGTGTTGTACTTGGTTTTGCATAATCTGGCTGGCGAGCCACATGTCTCCTTCGAGGAAAATCCTCTACCTGGAAGCAAGATCCGTTGTGTCGCATAAAACAAGTATGTATTTCTTAATATTCTGATTTCAGAGAAGTTCTGTCTATCTGTGGAAGTGACTTTGCTTCTTTTAAACGATGGCGTTTAAAGAGAAGATCGTGCAAAAGAATTCTCAAGAGTTACAAGAGTTAAAAGAATTTGAAAGAAAAAAAAGAAAAAAAAAGAAAGAAAAACAGAAGTTAGATGTCGCCAACGATTTAAATAGGAAGAGGTAATTCGTTTACGAGATTGACGCCCTTTCTTTGGAATTCTGTCGGTTCGTGTGTTCGAAACGACGAGTGGGTCGCCAGTGTCCCGTTATGAGCAGAACGAGCGATAACTGTATTGGCCGGATAACACGGTGCCTTATTACCGTCCTCTTGCATCAGCGAGCCATTATCTAAAGGACGGGGAATCGATTCTGATGAACGATACCTTTCGAGTCACAGGCTAATACATTTTTCGCCTGACGCGACGAGCCACGAATTTCAAAGGAATTTGTGCGAGTGTACACGAGCAGCGGGTGTTGTTCGGTTGGAATCGGGTTTTCGTGTCATAAGGACAGCTGCATAATTCAAGGCTACAAAGTGCCGGTACATCGCGCAACCGGTTGTTCCGATTTTTGTGGATTTTTCAGCACGCTTCTGACATTCAAAAACTCATTTTGTAAGCGTCTTAGAAACATTTGCCGAGACTGAGGAATCCTTGCAAATAAATCGATAACATTATTAATCTTTTTAGAGCAGACGAGCGGTGTCTAGCGTTCTTTGTTATCCTAGAGGATCTAAAGAAAGCTTAGAATGAAGGAAACCTTAAATGGACAAAATTCGACATTATCCATTTATCTTTATATATAGAATAATCTGCTGTCGTTTTGTTAATAAATCCAATCAGTAATTTCAGGAACAAGAATAGAGACGGGAATATTTATATAACGTAGAAACGACACTATGAGAAAATGTAATATTCGCATAATACCGGTTACGGTACAATAACCTCGGAAAGTGCAGGCGAACGGATGATAATATTCCGAAAGAGCAACTGCAATAATTATAAACGTAATATCCAACAACGATAGAGCGAAATGCGCTTTATAGTTACGCAGCATTATATTATACACAGCGGTGTATGTAGATGAGTTATTACGTAGGATTATATTTGGACAAAGTACTAGTCGCAGGATAAATAAATTACAGAGGTGTTCAACGAGGATGTGGGTTATAGTTGCTCGTAATTATTCGTGATCCAGGTAACCGGCTCGACTACTGTTGCGCTTCCAACGAGAGGGACAAGTTCGTCTTCCGCGTGTTTCCAAGCAAGCCACGTCCTCCGCTCGATCGTGGTCCGTTAAATTATCGTACCGGCCGAATAGAAAACGCGATTTTGAACGCGGCCGTGAATTTCTCTAAAGAAGTGGTAGCTATTAATCTACTTTCGATGGAAGAAAAAAAAAAAAAAAAAAAAAAAAAAA